CAGGGCTCAGGGGCTGTTTAATTGCGGTGTTGACGTTCAGGCTTAGGCTGGAGCCCGGGCTCTAGGACCCTGCAGTTAAACAGCCCCTTAGCCCAAGACCCAGGAGCCCAAGTCGGCTGGCATGGGCCAGCCGTGGGTGTCTAATTGCAGTGTAGACATACCCGTAGAGGTTGTCTGATTAGCCCAGGCTTTGCAGTGTGTCAGTAGCAGAGCTAGAAATAGAACTGTTGAGTTTTGTTGCAGTCTCTCCTCTATCCTAGTTTGCTAGAATACAGCTTGTTTGTAACTACGTCAGGGTTAATTGTCTTGGCTCAAAAAGCTTGTTAAACATTGGCACTAACATTTTTGTCTTTCCTCCCTCCCATATTAATAGCGAAGAAGTCTGATCTTTGCTGCCTGTTTATCTTTGCATTTTGTCTTTATTCTTTGGTACAGTGGTTGCGCTTAAACATTTACTTCTGTTTTGAGAGCTGTAATTACTGGATTCAGCTGTGAGCCCCATTTAAAGAAAAGGGACTATTTCTCCAACTGGCAGTGTCTTTCAAAAAGGAAGAGACTTTTAAAGCTCAGTCACTGTATGCATTTTTAATCAGATGCACTTCAGTTCTTCCACTGCTTGTTACTTTCGTTTGAGGTGCACAGTTTTCACTAGCAAATACTCATGTTCTTTGCAAAGCTGAGTCTATTTCTCACAATAACCCTGCTTTGACCTGGTTATCTGTTAACCACAAAGAATTCCGTTCTGATTAGTCCATCTGGTAACTGTTCAAATTCACATGACTTGGCTTTATTGGGAGGGTCTGTAATATAATGCTCAGTGGTCTCCGCTGGCAGCTTATGTCTTGTAAAGTAAATGTGCCTTTCCGAGAGCCACTCTTCTGCAGGTCACTGTCGTCTTGATGTTTTCAATGACTTTTTGTCCAGCAGTTTGCAGTCCCCTTTATGCCCTCATTGAAATATATTGTAAATCTTCAATAGCTCTGGTCTTAACTTAATGCATTTTAAAATTGAAGTTGCTTTATGCTCTATTCCTTAGAGTGCCACCTTAAGAGCAGATGGGAAAATATAGGAATGATGAATGAGACTGGTGCTTTCCAACATTTTTTTAAAAAACAGTGACTACTTTAGATTAAGGTTAATGGGATTCTTGCCTGCCCATCCAGGGTGACTAAACCCCTCAAGATGACATTGGGGAAGTCCTGTTTTTAGACTTCTGTTTGTTAGGTGAGAATCTGGAAAGTCTTCATTAAGTGAACATGTGTGTGATTACTGGATGAACAGTAGAGAGCTGGAGTTTCTGAAATGTGGTCACATTGTTAACACAACTAATTTGCCTGTGCACTTACTGCAATCGGAAGCCAGGTTATTAGAAGTGCGTACGTGCATGGCTGGTAAACGTGGGCCCAGATCTAGCCAAGCACTTAAGCATGTGCTTAACTTTCAGCACGCACATAGTCTCAAGTGGGACTATTCATGGCCTTTGAGTTAAGCACACGCGTAAACGCGTTGCTGGATCAGAGCCATAACTGCTGTGACTGCACACTCAGCCACAGGAATCACCCGTGCTGTTTGTGCATACGAACAGTTCTAACAGTCACTGTATACGCTGTTTATGCTTGTGAACGGCCAGTGATGCGTCTGACCCATCATTGGTGTACACAAAGACCAGGCTTTTCTCCCACAGGTGTAATGGTTGTACCTGAGCACGGATACGAAGCATACACGTTCCTGAAAACTGACTCTAACTCTTGCTGCCTGACTCCCAACACAAGCACCCGATGCTGGGTCCTTATCCACCGACTCACAGCACCAATCCCATCTCCAACGGAAACGGCCAAATTGGAAAGCCCACTAAGTACTGTAGAGCTCTAAAACTGCCATGTGACAGTTTGCCTAGCAACAGAACCACGCGCTTTCAGCATTTCCAGGCTCCTTACAACGTGCTGTTTGGTTAAAGATTCTGTTGATTTGATGTTTTAATTTGAGTTTTGGAGTGAGAGAGAGAGAGAAGCTGTGATGTATCATGAAAAACACAAGTGGAATTCAATGACTGCACACCAGGCATTCATATCTTTGGATGTAGCCCACAAGTAACTAAACGCACCCCTAGATGTGTGAACACCCAGGGCTGTGGTCTCTGGCTTTGAAATTCAAGTCCTACCCAAGATGCTATCTTCCTGAAATTTAAAATGGGATAGCCCAAAGCATGGGCCGGTTCAGAGAGTGGCTTGTTTGGCTTGGCCTTAGCATGGGAAGTGATGAAAAGGAAAAATGTTTCAAGTTCATTAACCTTTGGTACAGATAGCAGCATCCTTTAGACCACATGCAAGAGCTATTCTTAGTCATGACACTTACATGGTTATTTTCTACTGTAAGGGAATGCAGTAGTTCCCACTAGTGGTGAAAATAAGATTGATTTATTTTTTATTTTATTTTTTATTTTTTGTTGCTCATCCTAAACATGAACTGTAAAATGAAAGACTTTGAACTCCTTCCTTGTCCCCCCCCTTTTTTTGCATAATTTTCCCCCAAGCAAAAGTGTGTGTGTGTGTGTGTGTGTGTGTATGTATATGTGTGTGTGTGTGTGTATGTATATGTGTGTGTGTGTATGTATGTATATGTGTGTGTGTGTATGTGTGTATGTGTGTGTGTGTGTATGTATGTATATGTGTGTGTGTGTGTGTGTGTATATATATATATATATAATGTGTGTATATATATATATATATATATATATATATATAATGTATATTTTCCTTTAGTGGCTAATTAAATGTTATGCAACACTTCTCCCAAATGTAGCAACCTATTCCGGGTATTTGCAAATGAACTTGGCTGATTGTCCTTCTTCCAGCAAAATCCCATATCGTTAGGCCATTCTGCTGCAGCCGAAGAGCTGCAATTAGTAATGTGACTTCTCCTCCTTCTTTACCAGTAATAATATGGAAAAACCAACATTATTTTCCTAATTAGGTTTCGGAGAAATTAGAATGAGGTGGACACGATTAGTTTAAAAAAAAAAAAAGACGACTTTAATGTTATGACTTGTTAATGCAGTAGCCCTGAGCGAAACAGAATGATTGTCCTTGCACTAAACTCGTTTGCTTCAGTAAGCACAGACCCTCTGCACGCAACAAGACAAGTTGGGAGGAAATTGGCGAGATGGCAGGGATTTTAGTGAGATGAACATTTCAGTGTCTTTCATGTGTAGAGTACACAAACTGAATCCCTGCTCTTTCAAATATTACCCTAGAGGCAATCCATATTATTCAAAGTTTAACTATGGCTGCAGAATAATATTTGACATGAAAACAGAACACGAGCTTTACATGAACTTTTGTATTTACATCAGGAGTAAATCATATTTACTTCTCTTCCCCTCCTTCTCCTTCCGTGGGAGGGAGGAGAGAAAAGGAATAGTGTCCAGCAGGATTGTAAGCAAAGCAGCGGTAATAACGTCTGGTCTTGTGAGACTGCCCATGAATAGGAATGATAATGAGTCCAGTGATGAGTTGCAGGTTTGTGTCTTTTGGTGAATTATCTCACAGGCATTTACATTTCATCAATTGTGGTTTTTGCATAATAGACCTAAGTGCTGCTACAAAAGGAGGCACCATAAAAGTGAGTAATTTCAGTGACCTTCTTGGTAATCGCTCCTATTTTATAAAAAGTATACATCTCCGAATGACCGGGGCAATCCCTTATAGTGAAACCATCGCGAAAGGCGTTCCTGCTCTGACAGCCTGGCTTTTGACAAACACCCTCCAACGTCTCCTTCTGGTCACTCCGAACCATTGCTCGTATCCTGTTTGCTCCATTTTAGCATGATTCTCATTGTCAGATGTCAAAAGGCAACAACCATTTTCTTCTTGCTTATCTTCTGATAACATTGATTCTCAGACAAAGGATGTGGGCTTCCATTCTGAAAACAAAGGAAACGTGGCCTGGTTAAGAATGCTGGATATAATGTACATAATTCTCTCTGCCAATAATAACAAAGCATCATAAATAATGTAAAAGCTGGATGTTAAAATGGGGACTATACCGGTAGCTACTGTGCCTGGGTAGAGAGTTTGCTGGAGCATTTCCCTGCTCTTCCTCTTCTTCGCTGAAGACGTGGCTTTTTCACTTAGTTTTCTTCCCCTAAAAACATGCTACCTCTGTAAGATGTTTTGGTTTAAATGTTTCTGACTTTCTCTTCCTTTCAGGTTCTGTTCCCAGAATCTTCGGGGTGCTGTTGTGATGGGCTTTAGAATTTTCCCCTCTGTTCGTTTTGGGTCAGATTCTCAGGTGGCGTAAATTGACGCCGATCCATGATTGACCACAATGGAGCAATGCCAGTTCCCACCAGCTGGGCATCTGGCTTATTGATTCCAGTGGAGTAACACTGATTGACACCAGTTGGGAATCTGGCTCTTCTCTCTTCTGCCTATTCAGGTTCTTGCCTTGTTTCCAGAGCATCCGAACCAGGAGCTTTCCCCTCTGATGCTGGTCTCCCTCGCGCCCAGCTCTCTGCATGACCTTGGCTCTCCTTTTCCTAAGTTTTCCGCAGTGTGCTTCTCCTTTCTATCCAATATCTAGCTCCTGCTTTACTCCAGCTCTTCTTCCTTTGTCTGTTAGCGTCACATTGGGGAATTAGTGGAGAATATAGGGCTTGATTCACATCCCTTCTGCCAGTTATACACCCATGTGACTCCATTTATCCCAGTGAATCAGTCCCCTAGCCGTGGGCCAGGAACAAAGAACTTTGGATTAACCTTTGATCCTTCAGTTTCTTCCTGTGTTGATACTCTGAAGTCAGAGCAGTCCACTGCTACTCATTACAACAGCCACAATGTGCACCATTCAGTGTTGCAGTCTTTGTAAAAATCCAGAAGACGCAGTTCAGGATGGAACAGTAACTGGGCTGGAGGGGGGCACCAGTGGATGAGACAGTGGCTTCTGTTGTGATCTCCCTGGTGAGATTGATTTTTTCCCCCCTTTTTTATCTTTCTTGGCAGGATCAAAATCCTGGAATTGTTACCAGACTTCAGGAGCCAGGCACCATCCCAAGCGGAGGCTCGGTGCCTACGCCAGCTACGGTGAACGGATATACGATGAGGAACCATTTGCTGAAGCAGCAAATCATGAGACGGCAGCTATTGCAGGTTCGGCTTGCTGTGCCTACGTGGCTCCTGGAATGTATACGTGGCCAGGGTTAAAGTGAGAAGTGCTGCGTAAGAAATGGCTGTTGCAGAGTATTGCTGGAGTGTGGGAAATCACCAGGCTGGGTCTGACCTTCGGTCCATAAGAGTCCAGCCTTCTGTCTCTGAGAAAGGCCAGCACCAGTTGCAGCAGGGGCGTGTGTGTGTGTGTGTGTGTGTGTACACACATGCCCCCACACACCCAACACCTAAAAAAACACATTCCACTCACTCCTTGTGAAAGAGGAACATGGCCACCTCCATGCTGCTGTTTCCATCCCCTGCAGTCCAGGGTCTGTGCTAGGAGAGAGGGCAGATGCTGAGGGGTCTGACTCAAGGAGTGAGTGAGGCAGGGTTCGGGGGGATGCTCTTCATGGGGATTCCTCCCAGTAGATGGTCCAGCCCCAGGTTGTAGTCCCCTTTGCACTGAGCTTGCCACTCCTCCCAGGAGCCAGGGAGGCCCTGGCAGCAGAGGCTGCGTTGGAGCCTTGCTGTCAGGGAGCCGGGGTGGGAGGGGCTACCAGGGATCAGAGGCGGTGAGGAGGCACAGAACCTCTGCATGGATGGCTTTGCCTTCCCATGGATCCTGAGGAAACTGCCAGGTTTGGGGCGATCAGACCCCTCCCCCCAAGAGGCCAGTGCAATGGGAGCTCCATGAGGGAACCTTGCTGAAATTTCCTCCCCAGGCCTGTGGTAGCTGGAGTTACTGGCCATCTGCCGCCTCCTCTCTCTGCTTTTGCCTCCTTCTCACTACCAAAATGGCCCCCCTCCTGATCTGCCCCATGCCTGTCTGGGCTGGAGTTGTGGGGCAGTCATTCCAATCCACAGTGTGCTCTCTGCACTGTATGGGCTGTCACAGAGCAGACAGCATGGCACCATTTGGAAGGACGTGGCCAGAGCTCCCAGTAGCATAGGCAGGCTGTGCTGGAGAAGGTGTCTCTGAAACGGAAGGAAAAGTGCATGGCACACAAGTCAGCTCACTTTAGGCAGAGGCAACCATATCCTGGTTAGGTGGGAGCTTCCCATGGGTTCTCCCTGTGGGTCCACAGTAGATTTTGGTTTAAAACGGATCTGGCCTAGACACATGAGAGTACAGGTAGAACCATCTTCCCAACACACTCGCAGCCACCAGCACTCTCCTCCGTCAATCTGCCCCCTGAAGGCTCAGCCTGCCCCATTTCTGTGCGTTCACATGCTGTGAGCACCTTTCATTTCCACCCCCAAGAATCTGGGGCTTCAAAGGATGTGCCCAGACAGTTGGCCCAGGGGATTCTGGGGAGACCCAAAGATTCCTGCAGCACATAGAGCCTGATCCACTGAGGACAATGGAAAGTGACTCCAGTGGGCTTTGAATCAGGCCCCGGTTGAGCAGAAACAAGGAGAGCTGGGGGTAGAACTCCCCGTCCCCGGGTGGGTGAAAAAAGTGGTCCCAATGTCATTCCAGCTCCCTTATAGAGGTGGACCTGCTTACACAATTTTTGCCTAAGGCAGCCCCTGCTTGGACTGTGCTATATAGAAGACACCTTTGCAAGAAGGGGCATGTGAACAATTAAGTTCCTGACTGAAATGAACTGTCTGGGCTGCATGTCTGAAGAGCTTGTGTGTGTAGCTGGGTAGGTTGTTAGTGCCCAACTGGCCATGCTTCAGATGCCTGCTGTTATTTTTGTTCCTTGAGAGGCTGCAATGTGACAACTCTTTCTCTTGTTTTCCAGGAGAAGCAGAAACAAAACATGCTGGGAGTAGCGTCTGAGCAGAGGAGTTCATTTGTGCCCCAGCAGATGAATCAGTTTCAGGGTAAGGAGTGAAAGTGTGTGCTACTAAAAGCTTTGACGAGCCGGGTGCTCATTAAATGCAGGGCTCTTAATGATACTTTGCACTGAAAGAAAACCATTCTACATTTTGTCACATAAGATGGGATTCTCCTATTTTCTTATCACTCAAGTAGTAACTCTGTGACAAGGAATGCTGTTTAATGAAAGAGGGGAATTAAAGCAAAGCATCCTATTAAAAATCTGCCATGTTTCAGGGATAAATGCACCCTTAATGTTTAACATATACCTCTTTTTATATACAGCAGTACCACAACCTATTCCTACCGACTGCGGTCAGTCCATGCCAGCTCCTCCACTGAATCACCGCATGATGCCATCCAACCCGGGAATACTTCAGAACACCTTGGGCTCCGGACTTACTCCAACCACTGTTAACCAGAACAGTGGGACAATGGTTATGATTCCGCATAATCCTGGCAAACAACAAGGGATTTTCCCACCTAATTCTGATTTTAACATCCCTCTGCGACCAAACCAAACCTCTCTGGGCATGCACTCAGGATGCCAAACGGTTCACAGCCATGCTACTGTCCGGCCAGGAATGACATTGTCTAGCTTTAACTCCAGTTCCTTAACAAATCACTCAGCAACTCAGCAACACTTAAGACAGCCTAGTATGCCAAGAATTTCTACTGTCTACCCCAGCGCATCTGCTCAGATGTGGACACCGACTGGGGTTTCAAGAATGCCAAATCAAAGCCAAATGGATACCAGCATGCAGCAATTCTCCAGTAACCCTCTCGTCTCCAAACAGAATGTGAGACCAAATATACCAGGTCAGCAGTTTTCCCACCAGGCTGTAGTGCCGCCTAATCAGATTGCACCTGGAGTCCAGGTCAGACAGATGCAAAAACTAAACCTGGGACAGTCCGGCCAGAGCCTGAGCACGCTGAATAATCAGAACTTGAGACACAATTTAACCAGAGGACCATTGCCAGCTATGAATGTTATGAAATCCATGCCACAAGGCATGTCCAGTTTTAACCAGCTCAATCCTGCTCAAGGACTCTGCCCGCCAAGTTATCCCTCCGCAGGCCAGCTGTCAGGAACATTCAACAGAATGAGTACGGCTTCTGAGTTGTCACAGTACGACTTTGTGCCACAACAGAGCAATTCGATCTTGCCTGGAAACTGCAGCGAGACTGACTTCATTGACTCCCTTATGAAGAACAGTAGCAACAATGATGAAGACTGGTTGAACAATTTGACAATGATAGACGACATTTTGGGACAGCACGCTCAAAGCTCCGGACATGTTTAGCTCATAGGGAAGCAGACTGACTTGTAAATAACTTAAGTATGACTTTTAAAAGTAAAAACAAACCAACAAAAATTGCCTCCTCTTTCAATACCGAATGAATGGACGCGGCCAATTCTTTGCCTGCATCAAAGTTTAATATTGGCAGTTTTTCAGATGACTGTATATATTTGAATATTTTATAAATTATGTTTTCCTAAACATTAAATATAGAAGTATTTATACTTCTTTGCTGGACTGTTTGTAAATAAATCTACAGCATACATTTTTTGTTTTATTATAGGAAATTCATTATACCTTGTTATAAATATGCAAATAATATTGTTAGTTTCAGTAATACTGTGTATTACAGCATAAAATACTTATGTTTTTGACATAACTTAACACATGAGCTAGGGGTGTCCGTGCAAACTGGCTAAACAGGAAGCAAATGTAGTAATTTCTCTCCCTTGTCAAGAAAGAAGATTGAGGAGTTGCATTTTTTTAAAACTGTCAACCTATTCAGAGCACTCATCCTGCAAACTGATCCTCGTGAGTGGATCCCATCAGGGCTTCATGCAGGTGGAGGGATCCACCCACAGATATCCGATTGCAGCAAAGTTTTCAGTTGGGATACACTCCCCCATATGTTGATGAGAGCGTTGAAGGCATTAACCATCTAGTACTGAGTATATACTCATAATAGTACAATTGTTAACACAGATTACGTGACTACAGATTGCAACCAACTGAGGAATTATGGTGTGAAATGAGGACACCTGAAGAGCAAACATCAGCCAAACATTGTAAAGCCCCTGTATGGAGGTATCATCCAATGACACAATAGTTCTGGTTTGCACACCTCTGCCATGTATATTTGTAGTGTACAGGTGATTTGTTCCTGGTTTCAAGGCTTTTCATAATTTTCTGTTTTTAACGTGAGACTTTTTTTTTTCCCACAGGGGAAAAGTCTATCAACATTAATAGTTAATTTTTGATGTTTTTTGTCAGCTACTATTGTCATATGTATATTTAAGTCTGTTTATAAAAGATCCACTGTACTGTAAACTTCTTAAAATGTTCATAATTTGTGTAATCCTATTTTAATAGTCACGTCATACTTTGCAATACATTTGTAATATAACGTCAGCTTCAAGCACAGAATGTTTTTTCTTCATACCATAATAAACTGCCAGGGGAAAATTGCATATATTTTATGTTTTCATTTCATAGCAGCAACATTTTGTATCCGCAAACGTTTGATTTGAATTATTTCACTGCTTTCCAGGATGTTAGAACATCATTCGAATACCTTGTATAAATGTATATGTGCTATTACTAGAAGAAATGAGGTAGAGGAAGAATTGAATTAAGCAGGCTAGAATTTCAATTTTGGATGGGATTTCCTATGCCAGCTTTACCCATCCTTTCAAATGCAATTATAAAGGAATCCAGACAGCTCTATCTGTTTTTTATATAGCACCTATCACCATAGTTATTTAGGCGACACTTCTTATTATCCAGAAATATAAATGAATCTAGATTTTGGAACTATTGCTTTGACAACTCTTTATTTTCACCGGTAAATATCTGTCGGCCTATCTGGAAAATGCAACTGTTCCACTTCAAGGAAAAGCCATGCCCAGTGTAAGCGGTTCAGGGCAATTGTGCAGATGCTGTCTTGGTAGAGCCATGCCATATCATCTCGTAATATATATGGTAAATATTATATATGTGTGGGGGGGACAAAGCTGAGCCACTCCATTCGTTTTAGATAGAGACGTAAGCCCTTACAGGAGAGCTCTAGATATAAGGAGCTTCTGCCTGCTCTGGGGGGCAGGATATTAAAAAAAAAAAATTGCCATCCCAAATGTGTCTTAAAAATATACAAGTGTTAAATCAGCTCCACATAAGCTGAATCCAAAAAGGCTGCAAACCTTTTGGGAAAATAAGATCATGCAGTTAGGGAAAAATTTTGCACCCTCTCAGGGTGGAGGTGGAGGATCATCCCTACCCCTGCCTACCAAAAAGCCGATAAGAAATCAGTTTGGGTGAGAAAACCTCCAGGAGATCCCCTTTGTGGAATCTTTCCCAGATTATTCTATTGGGGGGAGGCAGGGTTTGCCCCTGCTGTGGAATAAGTAGGAGTTCCTGCCCTCCAGATTTCCTAGAGCAGCCAGAGGCACATGAGCATCTGCATGGAGCACTGCCCCACACAGACTCTCCGGTCTTTTCCCCATTCCCTGACGAGGACCGCTGCCATGGCTTCCCTCTCTGGCCACTGCTCCCAGCCATCGTATATGGAGTGGGGGCAAGGAAGAGTGAATGCAGCCTCTGCTGCTTTGTTCTGGATGGATTTCCTGGCAGGGGAATGATGCACACATCTCTCCCCAAGCGTGAATCCTTGGGCCTACAGATGGCCCTGAGAGGGCAAGAGGGGACAGTAGGGTGATGACAGCCCCTTGCTATGTGCGGAGATGGGAAGATCCACATGTGGATCCTAGAGGAATGATCCCTGATGAGCCTGGTCCTGGGAAATAAGCACCTGCAACTCCCACTAAAAAGGGGAGGGAAGGAAGCCAAGATGTAAATCAGTAGGAGCTGTGAGGACTCTGCACTTCTCCAAATAAAGTCCTAAAGCTCCTTATGCATAAACGCAGACTCCCCTCTGTACAAAGCAGAGAATGGTAAACTCTTCTCAATAAAACCACAATGAGGACATGGGGGAGTTCGTTTGGCTATGAGAATGGCTGAGGCTTCTGCAGCTTTTCTGTTCTGAAATCCGCTCTGCCAGTGAAGGGGCGTTGGCTCCAAGTGGGAGTCAGTGCAGTTTGTCTCTTTAAGGAGAGGTGTGCTCCAAGTCCCAATCCTGACTCAATCTCAGATTCGCGGAGTGTCACTTAGAGACCATGTCAACTGCAAAATCCTGTGCTGCCAACGTCTTTACCCCCAGTATGTTACTAACTACTTAAATGATTTTACGTGAAACAATTTTTAAAATCAGATTATTTTCTCTCTGTATTTTTTTTTTTTTTAACTTTCTCATCTGGGACAATTAAAACCACTGCAGTCAATTTGCCTTCCAGTTTTTCAGCTCTGCAGTGTTTGAATTTCAAACACTGCAGGGGGGAATGGAAAAGCAACCATTCCTACTAGCATGTAAGAAAAATCATTCTCTTGGTCTCAAGCTATGTTAAACATTTGTTTTCACACTCTAATTGTTAGGCCAGGTTTGAGCTGACAGTGCCCTTTTCACCTCTCTGTACCTCAGTTTCCCCATATGTAAAATAGAGTTGTTAATACTTCCTACCTCACAGGGGTGTTGTGAGGACAAAAGCTTGTAAAGTGCTTGGAAGATGAAAAGTATTATTACCTGGTGTCTATGGAGTATACTCATGAACACAAACTTTCAAATATGTCCCTTTGACTATTCCACATGTAAACAGTAATGGGAACGGCTCCATTTGGGTTCTATTCAGATAGTCGGGCTCTCTCTTGTCCTACACGTTGTCATTCCAGCCCACAGACTGCCTGTGAATGGAGCACGCAGTACGTGGCCCACAAAGATGAAAGCAGGGTGAATATTGTGTAATGGATCAGCGAATGGAGCATTAGCTTTACATTTTGGGTTGGGATCAGACTGTAACTGACAATGCCTCTGTCAAAATAAACTGTTTTGTTCTACCAAACGCCTTTCTCTGCAATTCATCTTACTTTGATTACACAAAACAGTGTTCAGATGCAAGGGGCCTGATCCTGCCCTCACATGGCTGTAAATCAGGGAGAGCTGCAATAGAGTGATACAGAGTTAAAACCAGTGTGAGACTAGGAGGGCATCGTCTACACTAGAAACGCTACAGCGGCACAGCTGTGGCTGTGTAAACACTACAGCAATGGCAGGGGTTCTTCCGTTGCTCTAGTAAACCCATCTCTCTGAGAGGCAGTCGCTTGGTCGATGGAAATCTTCTGTTGACCTAGGGGTGTCTATGCTGGGGCTTACGTTGGCTTAATTTCATTGCCCAGGGCATGACATTTTTCACAGCCCTGGGCGATGGAGTTAAGCCGCCTGACTTTGTAGTGTAGATCCAGCCCTCCGGCTAGCTATTTGCGTCCGCACCATTAGCAAATTACATGTACTGGATCAACAGATTCCACCACAAAATACATGCAGGCTTATACCTGGAGCCAAATTCAGCTTCCAGGCACTCCAGCATAAACACAAAACGCTTTGTGCTCTCGCCGAGATTTGTTGCATCTCTTGCTGAAGACGTGCTCAACAAAGGCATGTGATGTTGAAATTTTAGGTCAAGTTCTGCTCTCGTGTAGGATGTTGTCAAGCAGGAATAACTTTGCTGACTCCAGCAGTTACTCCTGACTTATGCCCAACTACTGAGAGCAGGACTGAGCACTCGGGACAAATCCTGCACTTGCCGCCCTGGTGTGATTCTGCTGCACAAGGCTTCGGGGAGCGTGCCACAGCTGGGCAGCCCTGGTTCTGGTCTGCATTAGCACCCTGCGCAGCCGGACACGTGCAAGGAGGTGGGGAAGGGCTGAGGTCAGAGGAGCTGTGGCCACATCAGTCTTCCTCTCCTCCTCCTCCTCCACTTACGGGGTGTGGGTGATTCTGTATCCTATGGGGAAATTTCTCCTAAGTACATCAGCACAGCCAGGCTTTGGAGCTCAATATCAATTTAGAGCCTGATTCATCTCCCGTTCCCTGTTATACGTAGCAAATAAAAAAGGAGGGTGGGGGAGTGTTGTGCGTTTTAAATACCAATAAGTCTCTCTCCTGGGAAAGCTAGAACATAAGTACTGATTGGCAGCTGCCGCAGCTATTGAAAACGTAAGGCTCCTTCTGGTCAATAGGGCCACAAGGTATAATACTGAATAAAACCCTGCAAAGGCTCCTTAGTGTGAAACAAAAGAGACATTTAATAAAAGCAGTTTTCTTTGTTCCCTTCCCCCCTCATTTAACTGCTTTTGTAACACTGCTCAAAATTAATATGCCATTTTATACATGTCGTTCTCCATTTCCCATTACATGGTGAGTCGGTCCAGCCCGAGTTCCTGCAGTTGGCTTCCCTCCCCGCTTTGCCCACGGCATGCATTTGCCTAACAAGTACTCGCTCTGTCGTGCCAGGTTCTTTCTTTGCAGCCAAACACACACGACCTCGGTGCATCTTTGTTCAAAGAGTCACAGTGCACAGGCCAGTTTCTGTGTTTTTCTACTCTTGAAAAGCAGGGAAGTTTGGAAGGTTGGAAATGGTGTTTTCAGCATTTCATTAGCCTGTTCTATGGCACAGCTGTGTGTCAATTAAAACAATGCACAACTACACGGAGGATTTGTCCCGGAAGCCCAGTGGGACCTTCACTGTGCAGCTGAGCTCTGCTCTGCTAGTTTTACAGGTGAGAGAGCCAGATACCAATCAGATGTCCCTGATTGTTTTGCCTCACGTATACTTTGCCCTTATTAAGACTGGTGTTGCAATTTAATGACCAGGATTAAAAAAAATACTCCATCAAAATGGCATTTTCAATTGGCTGTCTCTTGAAAATCATGTTACATTTTGAATGTTCCAGTTTTCGAGTCTTGACCCTTTTTCAAGGACAGATGGGGGACCTGGGTTTTGGCCCTGTTTGGTTTCCATAGTATAGTACTATGCTGCGTTCAGTGTGTGGATGGGATGCCCCTGGGGCATAGGCCAGCTGGTGCAATGAGAGAAAAGGATAAGGAGGTAATTTTTTCTTTTCACTCCCTGCGGGAGACCAGCTCTCCGGCATATCTAAGGCATACAATTGTGAACACGCCTTTGCTGATGTAATGATGTGGTGGAGACCACTGATCTGTATTCAAACACTCAGTTTTAGGTTTTTGTATGACTGTCATACAGATTTCTGTGGAGGGAAATGTTCTGTATTGGCTCTGGAAAGTGGGGGGAAGCTGAACTGGTTCTCCTGGGATCAGGCGCTGTGTTTTCCCTTCCTCGCAATAGGGATTATTATTACCTGTAGCTATCTATGGTACATACTTGGCCTCCATTACTGTAGTATCTGAGTACCTCACAAGCTTCCCCACACCCCTGTGCTATTAGCCCTGTTTTACAGTTAGGGAACTGGGGCACAGAGAGACTAAGGACCAGACTCTCATAGGTGTTTAGGCACCTAAAGATCCAGATGGATGTCTAGTGGGATTTTCAAAAATTCCCAA